TCTGCATCTTAGAGTTGATGCTCACTCTGGGACTCAAATTCAGTATCCTTCGCTTCAAACGCTATCTCGTTATCCACTTAACTACAAAGTCCTGATAGCCAATTGCTTGTGCAATGGGGTGAAGTTTAAATTCACTTTGTATTGTTTACTTGAATCTTCTCACTGGTGTTTTGGACTGCAATTGATCAGTCTCTTATTAACATATGTGATTACTGTGTATATTGCCTCGATATTGTTTTAATATTCCATACAAGTATCACAAATTGTATGAATATATTATTGCTTACATTTAAACAGTTTTCATTAATATTATGATTACTGTACAAAAGAAGGTAAGCGTTAATAATTGGTTTAACATTAATCGGTTCATGATCTCAATCAAAAACTTAACAATCTCCACAACCCCTAAACTGATAAGTTTAAATCATTTAATTGATTACCGTGTCGTAATAAAAGGCAACTAATATATTTCAATAGTTGAGATCACAAGTCAATTGAAGCTAGACCACCATGGAAAACCTGGAAGCACTGAACGGCCGTTTCGTCCTAATTTTGAACTCCTCAGTAGTGCGCATCCACGATCCCACCTCGCAAGATTTGGCCGTCTAATGCTTCCGGATTTTTCACAGTGATCTAGTTTCAATTGACTCATGATCTCAACTATTGAAATTACTATAATATCTACAAAATTCCGTTCTGATATTAAACAACAAATATATGTTATGTAAATTCAGGAAACCAAATTTTCTATCGCTCTTTCAGTATGACAATTTGAGTAATAAATAAAAAAAGTTTTTTTCCAACAAACTATTCACAATAGCAATTCATACATTCATAATTTTTTCTATTTTTTAACATAGAAACAAAATATTTGTATTTATTTATTTGCTCAAAGGTTATTAACTTACTTTTTTAAATAAATTCAAGTCAGATGATAAAATTATAAATAAGCAACAACACTTGAATTATTTAATTATGTTTATACAAATTTTTGTTGTTTTTCTTGTTGTTGTTTTACACCAGTTGAGTTCATAGTCCATGAATAATAATAATGATAGTAAGGATACTACTACTACTATTACTACTTCTAGTTACGTTAAATAAGGTGCATTTTGATGTTTTAGTTAAATACCTTATTTATAAGCTTGTAAATCTCATCATAAAAACTAAATCATTCGAGTAAATGTGACAAATATGTGAAAAACATTTCATCAATAATAATAACAATAATAATAAGGAATATTATGAGGTAAGCTACGTCCTATCTGTGTATTATTTACTGTCATTCGTCCGTTTACTGAATAATTATTGATTATCTTCAGTTTTTAAGTTATGTTTAATTAAATTCCGTATTTGATGGATTACTTTAATCAATTTAATAATGAGAACCGTAGCTGGTTAATTAGTTTTAGATTGTTTTTTTTTCATTAGAGCTCTATACCATACTGGTATCATTAATTGTAGGAATATATTGTTGCTTACATTCAAATGAAAAGGAAGTCTATTATTCAATGAAATATGTAAACATACTCTATCCCTCTTTCTCTCTTTTCCTCTCTCTCTCTCTCAATATATATATATATATATATATATATATATAAAATCTTTTTAAGTAAAGATGGATAGTGGCTAGCAGTGGAATCCAGTACACGCGTTTTGTTCTATTTGGGACTCGTCAACTGGATGTACCTGCATCCCAAAGTTGATGTTCACTCTGTTACTCCAACCCAGTACCGTTCCAAATAAAAAGAAACGAGCATCCTTGATTCCACTGCTAGCCACTATCCATCTTTGTTTAAAAAGCTTGTGACTTAAGGCTATATCGAGGCAATGCGCACAGGATGTATGTAATGCCAACGTGAGACTGATCGATCGCAGTCCTAAATAACACTAGAAAGTTACAAGTCAAACAACACCAAGTGAATTTATATATACTCTGCTTTAATAACATTAATTGAATTCAATCAAGCGAAGTATGTCAAATTTCTTTATGTGAATTTTAGACATGAATAATTGCCACATATAAAATTTATTAAAATAAAAACTTATGAATTTATAAAACATTCACTTCTTATTCACTAAATACAAATTAGATGATAATAATAAAGAAAAAAGAAAATTCTACAACTTGCTCAATTGTGTTTTCGAAAATGCAACATTGACTTAAACATTGTCCCAAATACCAAATACTGACTTTTAAAAAAAACAAAGAAAATTTCACTGGTTCTTTTTAATCGTTTCTCTGTCGGGATAAGTATAATTTTTTATCTATTAGGTAACAGTTAATTTTGGTTCATTTTCATTATTAAACTGTTTAAGTTTAATCTGTTGTTTGTTCATATAAAGAGCATAGCTGATGACATAATTTTAAGTATTGTACAAACACGAGTATTAAATTTAAGTAATTTGGCGACCTGCTTGAACATATAGACTAACTGTACCTTCCATCTAAATGTTTCAACAAGTTATTTATTTTTGTTTGTTTTAATACAATAATACGCACTTATTCAGGTGCGTTTCTGAAAAGTGTACAAAATTTCATTAAACAAGTTACAAAAGAGCCTAATTAAAGATATCGTGGTTGCCTCGAAAAGAATGTGCATTATTTAGACATAGATTAATAAAGTGCTAACTTCTAACTGGCGATCACTCAATATTTATCGTCAGTATCGACCAAGAAATACGAATCGGAAACTTGTTGAAATACTTTATGCTGAAGATTCTATATTTAACCAAAAATATACGATTGAATAAAGCCAGTAATTATAATTATTAATTAAAATAGTTGTGATCATGTGTCAATTGAAGCTAGACCACTATGGAAAGCCTGGAAGCACTGGACAGCCGTTTAGTTCTATTGTGAGACTCCTCAGTAGTGCGCATCCACGACGAAATGGCCGTTCAGTGCTTCCAGGTTTTCCATGGTGGTCTAGCTTTAATTGACTCATGATCTCAACCATTAAAATTACTATGATATCCACAAAGTCCCCGCCTGAAATTAATAGTTAATTAAATTATGTTGGTTCACATATCACCTGAGTAACATATAGATCATGCAATCAAATGAGTTCTAACCATAAATTAAAATCGTTATTGAATATTGATGCTATGAAGATTTAGTGTATTATTTATTCAACGCTTATTAATTTTTAGATATCTATAATTAAAAGTTTAGAAGTATTTATATATTACTTATTTCTATCCTACTTGTATATTTATTCCATTGTAAACTATAAAACAATTTTCTTCGACAATTTCACTTGAAAATTTGGTAATTTAAGATTAGATACGCTAAGTTAGCTAAAAATGTAACATAATCAATTAATGAATATTGATTTTCCATAAAAATATCCTCACTGATTTTTTATTTCAGTTTGCAACATAACTGAAATCAAATGGAAACTTATAAACTGTCAATTAATTTATTTCATATCAAAATGATCAGTTTGTTTTTTTCTATAAATATTGCCCAAATGATATTTCTATCAGTAGGATCGGATCTGAGGTTGATAAGTCCTGGGTTCGAATCCCGCGGGATGCACTGCTGAGGAGTTTCAATATGAGACGAAACGGCCGTCCAGTGCTTTCAGATTTTCCATGGTGGTCTAGCTTCAATTGATTCATGATGCTAATTTTTAAATTATTTTTAACTTTTTTTATAAATATTTTGATAATTAAAAGATAATTAAATAACCTATTGATATGATCCAATTATAAAATATATGAACCAGATGAACATAATTTTCTTTGACTAATTAAACTAACTGTCATAACTTACGAAGTAAATACAGTAAAATGGTGGTAGGCATCAGTTTCAGACAAGTTGTCTAAACGTATTAAATGAATTACTGATTAATTATTTTCTGCATAAAAATAGAACAATCGAATCATCAGTGAATTGATTCATGATTAGATGATTTATATCTTAGCCATCATTACTGGTTAGATGAATATTTATAAATTTCATACACATAGTTCCCTTTATCATTTTGAAAAGAGCAAGAACAAACATTCTAGCAGAATGGTATGAAGTCATTTTTATTTCGTTGGTTCTCGTTAGCTGCTTACAACCTGTGATATTTAAAATCATAATTATATAATGGGTTTAAATTACTTACATGAAAGAGTTTGATTGGTAGTTATATTGAAGATATATTCGTATAGTATAGCAATGGCATAAATAAACTTAATGGACTGAGTATTGTAAATATATACTTTATATGAAAGAAAATTGTGACAACAGTTCAAAGAGCTAGAAACAAGTAAACAGTGATAGGAATAAAATGAGTAGAGTTCAGTTCATAAAATAAGATTAAAAAATTTTGTTGGGAGATAGTTGGAATAAAACCCAATTATGTGACAAGTGCAAAAAAAGAGTTGAAAGAAGAGGGAAAAAATGTTAAGATACAGCGAAGGAATATTAGTCATCAAAGCAAGGAAAGATTAATAACCATCTTCTTTTGAACACATAAATCAAGTTTTTGGCGTCTGATAGTAACGGCTTCAGCAAACTTCAGAAGACTGGAGTTTGGCTGCTTACTAATCACCTTGAACGATTGTAGGGTATTGACCTGATGTCCTGTATCAGTTTAAATATCACAGGTTGTAAGCAGCTGACGAGAACCAACGAAATAAAAATGAATTCATGCTATTCTGCTAGAATGTTTGTTCTTGCTCTTTTCAGAATATTTATACTTTTAGTACATGTTTGATGGTTCTATGAAGAAAATGTACGTCCTTAGCAATTCATGAAGCTTACTTTATGCTTCTATAACGTACAACTAATGAGAATGATTAAAACCATATGTTGTGCTAATGCATACTGTGGAAAACTTACTTCTACATAAAACGAATAAAGTTATGAATGTAGAACTCATTAATATTTCCATTAAAGTTTTAATTTTATCTCTATTTTACTGACTAAACCTTATCTACTCAAGTTTCATGAAGCATCAATATATTTGGTAAACTTTTCTTTCTATATATTTTTTTAAATATAGATTCATTCAATCAATTCATAACCAATTATTCATTTATTTTAGCCATTCTTTTTGAATGGCACTAACAAGTGTTGTAACTTCTTATAAAGTCGGAATGTCAGGTGATATCATACCAAATAATTTCGATATGATACCCTATTCCACTTTTCATACAGCTTTATTACCACATCCAAATCCATTAGGACCTGGAAATCCATCAAATATTTCAACAGGTTTAATGCTTACAGCACAACAACCAACTGGACAAAATCCTTATTGTCCACCAATTACTCTTACTAATGGATATTATACAAATGTTAATTATCCACATAATGCAGAATCATTTTGTTATGTACAACCAAATGATGCTAATTCAATATTAAATGCATATCATACATATCCTACATCAATAAATTTACCATTACAAGCAACACATATAGCATGTGATAAGTTATATACATCTAATAATCATATAAATAGTAACAATAATAATAATAACAATAATAATCATATTACAGCACAGAATCCATTACTTTCAACAATAAATACAAATCAGATTACTATAAATAATAATTATAATGATAAAAATGAATTAAGCAAAAGATTAGAAATGATAGCAGTTGAAAAATCTAATACATTATTAGATGAATCATCACAAGGAATAATTGATAAATCAACTATATTATCATCATTGTCATCTACTTCCACATCAACAACAACAACAATAATTACACATGGTGAAAATGAAAATGTTCAACAGAATACATCATTATTAATACTAAGATTATTGATGTCTGGAAAAGTAGGTTATTATTTATTTAATTATGTTTATTGTCAATAGTAATGAAACAGAGGATAATCTAAGTGAGATATGAAATATTGGATATCAGTGATATTTAAAATAGTTTACTTGACATAATGGAGTGTGAGTACAGGAGTGAATATTAACACTCAGATACGGGTTCGTCTGACTGACGAGTCCAAAATAGGACGAAACATGAGTTCTGGATTCCACTGTTAGCCATTATCCATCATTGCTTTTAAATGCTTGTAGCTTAGGGAAATATCGAGGCAAACTGAACAGAATGTACGTGTGCCAATAAGAGACTAATCAATTGCAGTCTTAAATATCAATGGGAAGTTTCAAACAAACAACACAAAATGAATTCATGTATAAAATAGTTTTAAATTGTAAGGAAACTCTGATTTTGTCTTTAATTAGAAAGTCGATCATTTTTACTTTCAATATTTTAATTAGTTTCCTACCTAAAATTTTGATTGACAAAATGAAGTGGTGGTTTAAAAATGATCATAACTAAAGTGAAATGAATTTTTTCTTTTGCAAAGCGATAATTACTAAATAATTATTGTGTTATAGTTTGAACAACAATTAGTTATTTTATAGATAACATCACAAAGTGATCTTAGGTAAATATCCATTGTAAATCTCTAGACCAGTGAATCGGCATTCAAACTTAACAATTCCTACAAACCCGTTTTAGCGAATAATAATTTTGAGAGGTGATTCACGGAGTTCTAATGTGAACTTTTGAATGGTGAAGTTCAACTACGCCACATGAAGTAGTTACCCATCAATTAATTTGAGGATGGTTGTGTTATATCCCAGAGTTATTGCAGGTAAACGTGCAAACCATTAGATGATGGCTTGGTTGTTTAAGACATGAAGGTAGTTGCTACATATCCGATGAAAAGATCTTTAGTTGAACTCGATGTTTGACTAAGATCAATCCACAATATAATCTTCAAAAATCAACAGAATCTAAAAAGTTCCTCTCAAACATAATTGTTTTGCTCAATTTGTAATTAGTTAACGTACCATGTTTACTGATCCCATTATCTGATCAAGCTGTGATCGTAATGGTGATGAGAATAATTCCTAATTTTCGATGCCTTTATCTGTAAATTTCTAATCAATTATTTTCCAGACACCCTTTAAATCCCTTAAGTACATAACGTGGTGATCATATTTTACATTCTGAGATTTTTAAAACGCCTTCATCACTAATAACAATTATTTTCCTGTAAAACATTAAAAGAAAATCTTCAGTTGCTCTATATGGTCAACATTATCATTGCCTACATCAGTACAAAGTGATCGGTAAAAAAGAGAAAAAAACAGTAAGAATGACAATATCAATTAGACATAGTAAAATCTTAGTGTTGATCTGGTGCAAATGAAAATTAATTTGAACTTGACAGTTATATTAAAAACAAAAAATGTATTTGTAAAATCTCAGTGAAAGAATTTGAAGTAAATCCAACGTTTCGCCTGACCGTCTGGTCCAAGCTTTTTCAAGGAAAATATAATGAAACTACAAAATTATCGAATATTCGATTGCCAAGTGAAACGTTGAATTTACTTCAGATTCTTTCACTGAGATTTTACAAATACATTTGTTTTTAATGTCTCATATTAACTCGGCGCCTAAATATTGTGGAACTATTCGTTCAAATTTAGACGAAAGTTCATATTTATTGACAATTATATGTGCAAATAATAATAATGTGCCATTTAGACTGATTTTAGATTATAAAATAAATTTGCACAAACGGTATATGAATATCTTGAACTGTCCCGTATCGTTTAAACTAATCCTCTTCTATAAATAAATAAATAAATAAATAAATAATATATTTGTAATATCCTAATGAGTAGAAAAATCAGATTTTCTGACGTTCCGTTGTACTATTCAAACTTGGATTAGTTTTAATTTGGTTATTTATTCTCTGAAGAAGCGACTTACACTAAGTCACGAAACGTCAGAAAGTCTAATTTTTTCTATTCATTGGGATATTACAAATATATTATCTATTTATTTATAACAATCTACCCAATGCTCAATTTATTAGAAATCAGCAAATCAAACCTTGGTAATGATACTTAATCCTCTCCTATGTTATGCGTCTTAGTATACTTTTTAACTCAATAGTCAGTATATTTTATTCTATGAATTCTCATTCAAACTAATGGTCGGTTGTTTTTTTTAAAGTAGATAAATATTGAAATTCATTTCAATGATTAGTTTCTGTTATAATAATAAACAATTAAAACAAATCAGTCATTCAATGATCATAAATATTTAAGAAACTATATTCAAATAAAAGAAAGACTATTAAGACTTTTCAAAATTGGATTCATTAGTCAATTATATCATTTCTATATTGCGTGATATAATAACAAAAATTATGTTCGCTTGAATAGAATTAAATGACTATTCTTTTTAAATCTTGACTAGATCATAAATGAAACGGGTATTGAAAATATCCATTACTGACAATAAGTTCATAATAAATAAAAATGAATAATACAGTTTGATCTTTATATTTTATTCATTATTGTCATAGAATAATTAATTCAATCTAAAGAAAGATTTGTGACATTAATAATTAGTATGATTTAAGTTTGACAATAAGGAAGTATTCCTATATAGAATGTCTTAAATATATTCATTAAAAATGAAGAATCAGTATAGGGGTTGCGAAAATTATTTAGTTTTAAATTGAGATCATGAACTGATTAATGTTAGATCACCATTGAAAAACTGGACGCACCAGATGTATGTTTCGTCCTATTGTGGAACTCTTCAACAGTGTGCACCCACGATCCCGATCGAGGGATTATTAAGTTGTAGATTGAGATCAAGAATAGATTAATGTTAGACAACCTCTAGAACCCCTATACTGATAATTACCATGTGCTCACTAGTGACTAGCTTTGTGAGGTAATTCTCGGAGTTCTAGTGAGGAACTGTGACCAGTGATGATAATCGGTGTCGGGTAGAGACGGATATCTACCTCGTTACAGTGGAAGATGGTCGTGCAATTTTGTGGATTGTTTGAAGTAAAATATTAACACCGTTGGATGCCAGTCAGTTCAGTGGTCTAGAGGTTAAGCGTTCGCGCGCGAGACTGAAGGCCCTGGGTTCGAATCCCTTGAGTGGGGTCGTGAATGCGAACTGCTGAAGAGCCCCACAACAGGACGAAACGGCCGTCCAGTGCTTCCGGGTTTTCAATGGTTGTCCAACACCAATGGGTTCATGATTTAAATCTAAAAATGATGAATATTTGAATGAACAATTATTTTTGATAACTTCATCATAAGGCTCTCTATTGACAAGTCCATAATTATTGTGATATTTTACAAAGATTAAAATAAGGCATGAAATAATGAATTTGACAATGCTATATGTTAAAAATGGCGAACATTTGAAGCTGTTAGAACATAAATACTTCGAAATTGTTACTTGTAAATAAATAAGGTCAGTACATAAAGGTTTGAATGATTCGGAATAAAGTGTCAAGTCAATTGTTCGATCAAACATTCTGCTGCTGAGATACATGAAATAGTTGAAAAACGAGAAGTAAATCGAATAATCCTATGAGATAATATGATGGATATCATACTTGTTTATGTGTGTATGTTTGTCTAGATATGTGATGTTAAAAAACTTTAATATAATGATTAATATATTTGTCGTTAGTTCTATGTAACGAAGAAACTAGTTTGAATATTCTGAATAGGTTAAAACATTTTGTAGTACCAACTAATTGACTGAGAACATGTTGAAATGGTTATTACTTCCAATCAGAACATTTTACGAAAATCAAGTGGACAACCTTTAAATTGACTTAAGAGACATTTTATAAATAATTTCAACCTTCAATGCACTGATGTAAACTTGTCTTTGAATGAGAATGATATTGAATGACTATATTTTTCAGTTAAAAACATTAGTGAAATGATTTAACTGTTGTTTTTGTAATGGAGGATAGTATAAAATGTTAATCATCGTTTTTTTTTTTTTCAAAGGTTAGATTTTTCCTCAATTATTAATGGTCAGAAATGTTTGAAAACACTAAAAGTTATTGTATTTGTTTTTACGAAAAACATAAAATTCTTTGGTTATCACTGTACAATTGAATCATTACATTTTTAGTATGAACTTATGACTTCCATGGATGTTAGCAGAAAGACACAACTAATCGATCACGAGATGTTTAGGTCATATTGTTTCGTTAAAAATAGTCTATTTTACTCTTTTTAAGGAAGACACATTTTGTATTTAAAATATCGTTTTACTGAATAACTCCACTATGAACATTGCATGTACATATTATTAATTAAGAAATTGGAGTTTATCAGCTGTCATTACGTTCCTTGAATAAACCTTCGTATATTCAACTCAAAAATGTTATCAAAAGAATAAATCGAGTACCATTACATTCTTCTATTTGCAGATCATATTACAATTTCCTCATATAGGTGAAACAATTTGTAGATTATGAATGGTTACAAAGGCCATTAATAATGATCGTATTGTTTCTTAGTTTCGGACATTTGTCAAATACCATTAAAAAGAAAATTGTCTTTGAAAACACCTCCATGCCAAAGATCACAATTACAATTACTGATTTATTCCAAATATTATGATTTCAGTAAAACAGAATGTGAACTTATTGAAAGTGTAAAAGTGAAACAAATTTCTTTAAGGTTATTTAAAATGAAAAATAATAATGTAGATACTTTGTGATAAGTTATATTACAATAAGAATTTCGATGGTAAAGTATTAAATTCCAATTATCTTTTGTACTGTTTAATCATGGATTAGTGAACAATACCATGTGTACCTAGTCTTTGTTCTGTCAGATAAGTTGGGTTATAGGTGCTCCGTTTTCTCAATGTTCTGGTGTAATTTGTTATTGTTATCGTTGTTATTGTTTTTTAATAATAACGGTTCAAAAACAAGTAATCTTAGTCAAGTTTCCAATTTAAGTACAAAGCTAATTACTCTACCTCTGCTTTTATTTATACGTAATTAGTTTTTGATTAACATTTATAAAATAAAAAATATGTGATATATATTGACAGTTTTAATTATGTAACAGTATATAAAGGGAAGGTATGATTTTATGTTGTCATGTAACATTAAATATATAACCTGCTATTATGTAGCATTCTTTGCAATCAGCAAAATAAGAATGCAAATGTGAACCTATGAATAGTTTATTGATATTTTGAAAAGATAACTAAATAACTGAATTATTGTAGAGCTTAATTTATATTTTACAATGATGAAAATAGTAACTAAACATTAAAACAAAAGTTACGTTTTCTTGATCTCTTGAATTGGTCGATGAAATGTTTCCATCCAAACTTTACTGAAACAGACAAGTTAAATTGACTGAAAATAGTGGCTCGGAAATTAACTTTAACACACATGTTTAATGTAAATCTATAGTCAAATGAAAATATCCCGAAATCTCCACACTTCACTGAATATGTCAATTAGTTTAAAGTCATAAATGATAGAAATACACATACAAGGATTATTGCCAGTAATTTAACCGAATGAAAGATACAAAACCTTCAAAGTTTAATAATCGAAAATAAGGTCGATAAGACATTAATTTTATAATTCCAGTATAGTTTTTAAAAAGTCCGATTCTAATTAAAGTAGTCGTTGCTATGGCTATTCAGAAATACATCCGAAATCTAATAATTTAAATCAAAGAAAATAATAATGTTAAAGTATTTCGCCTGAGCAATCAATTACTCTTATGATTTTTAACTTGAATCAATTCAAAAAATAATTTTCCCAGGATTTCCTTTAAATTATTACGTAACCATTGAATTTGTAAATTATTTTTTCCCTAGACATAAACTTCTCCCACCATCAGACCACTTTATTTCACATAAGATTGATAATTAAACTTATTTCAGTTTTGTTTGGAGTTTGAAACATTGTCACGTCAACCATTCGATTGTAATGGACTCTATTCCTTTTAATATAAAATGATAATAAATTTATATTCAAATCAATAAAGAAATGATTATGGATTAGCTGAATGATAAACGATTTACTAAAAGTAGATAAGCTTTAACCGTTATATCAAAGAATGAATGAACTACTTACAAAACATCCTTTTAAAATACTAGTAATATCATATTGTATCAACTTCAATAAATACTCAAAATATAAAGAGACCTTTTGCATACTTGGTCGTCAGACGAACCTTAATATAAGCCCTTTTTGATCAAAATATGTTTAAATTAGAAGTTAGTTATAATAATTATTATCTAAGTAAATATTATATTATAATTGGGAAGGGAAGACTCAGCATGATAACATACTGAAATTGAAATGAACTGTAATCAGGAGGAACATAGAAATAAAAAAAACCAGTTGAAAGTATAAGGACTATAGTGAAATAGAAGACAAGCAGATGGCTATGGAGGAAGAAAATTATGAAAAAAAAATAAAATTACGAGTAGGATCATGGTACTAATTTCTTTTGGATAAATTACGGATGTATAGCTGGTGTTTTGATAATGCTAAGAAGATGGAATATAATTGACTTTGGCAGTTTTCTACTTACCTTTAAGATGACTTTGAACGCAGAATACGCTTTGATTGAATAAAAGTGTTTACAAGGTGTTTGGCCATTGAACTTCTTATTGACCCATTTCTAAGCCTTTTTACCGATAGATAAGTATTTTCTCAAAGAGGTACAGTTCGTTATTTACAACTTCGGAACTGAAAATGCTTTGTATCCATGTAGCGAGGAACAAAATTCAGTTTTCCTTCCTGCAATCGGAAACACATTAAAAACTTGATAGCTAACCCTTCCGCAAATGTTTCCTGTAGATTGATTTTCCTAGAGTTGGGTCATGTTTTCTCGTGATTTCAACTTCAAGAAAATTAATACTTAGTCTGTCTTCAACTTCATTTATGAAATATATTTATTAATCTAAATAATGCTTAGCCAGAATCATATCAACATAATTCTTTCATACACAACATTCAGAAGCAATGCACTGAATATAAGTTACTTACAATGAACTTATTGCCTTAATAGTCAAATGTAATCAGGCTTAATCTGCCTCAAAGATGTTATGACTTTTTCTTTAACAAATGAAAACGATTTTATTTTTGTTACTCATTTAAAGTTCTATGTTAATGTACGAATATTTCCATAGTAATTGTAATTAATGATAATAATTCCAAAGCGTTTATTTATGTAAAAACTAAATTTTATATAGTAACCTACATTATTGATCAATCATATAACAATAAGGTTTAAAACATTCTTACTAAAATGATTTTTATAATTATAAATAAATAGGAATTGAATATGACAGATTCATCTACTATAGACCCTAGCGATAAATGTCATTAGTTATCAGGACAATATACATAGTCACCAACATGTCAAATATTTTCAAATACTTTCCTGTATAAATTCTTTCTCATCTAACGTATAATAATTAACAACAATTTAAATTGTTTCTTAAAAAATACACTGGTCTAATTTAATATAATGAATACTAAAAAAAAAGAAATACTGAATGTTAAACTGAGTTTGTTTATTTAAGCTGAAAAGTTCATCTCCGATGATGTTTAGATGTTGAAATTCGGTAGTTTAAATGATCAACATAAGTCAATGTGAAAGTTTAGAAATTTGTAAAGTAAATGATTTATGGTGTATCGTTCATTTTTTGTGTTTATTTTTTTTAATATCTAGGAAGTTGGCAGTATCATCGGCAAAGTAAGTTCTATTTATTTTGTGTTTTCTAATTAAATTAATTATATTATAAATAAATCCACTATTTAATTCTATATTGATATGCTTTATTCAATATTATATTTTCGGTACAACATAGAATTCTTAGCATAAAGTATTTTAACAACATTCCTTTTCTTACTTCTCAATCGATCCTGATGATAAATATTGAGTGGTCACCAGTTAGATGTTAGCAGTTCCGAAATCGACATCTGATTAATGTATATTCTTTTCGATGTATATTGCCAACAACCACAATGTCTCTGATTATGCTGTTTTGTAACTTGTACAGAGAAATATCGTAAACATTTTGCAAACGCAACTGAATAGGTTATGAGACTAATAGGCATAATGATGTGTTAAAACAAACAAGAAAACACATAACTTTTTGAAATATCCAGATAGAGGAAACACATAGCTCAGATATTCAAGAAGGACACCTTGTGAAATACGATGATTTAAAGTAAAATGTTTTAAAATATTACACTTAATTTCAATTTCTATTTGTACACATCTGAATACACTGAATCATCCAGTTAAATATGTATTAATTATCAAATTTTAAATAATTTAATAATAAATATGGTTTTTATTAGAAAATTGTATTTTTCATATTTCGTAACTTAATGTATGCCACTTCTTCAGAGTAAATCAACAATCGACATTAAATTAACACAAGTATAAATAGTACAAAGAAAACAATGAATAATATTTTTGATGTAATCACTATCATATTAGGTTTGAATAAATCCATATCAAATTTTTTACGTACATTTTTGATATCCACATTTTGACGCATAAATGAATACAAAGATTACAGGTCATACAAATTCATCATGATAAAAAATAACTTGACATTAACATATTCAGATTTATTATGATTTTGATAACACCAATAATATTCCGAATTGTTTCTTTTTGTTATTCAAACTTGGGTTTACTCTGAAGAAATGGCTTACATTAAGTTACGAAACGTCAGAAATGCAATCTTTCTACTCATTGACATAAAACAAAAAAACATACGATTATCCTTATTTGAAACTATCTAGTTCACTATTACTGAAACTTATACTAATGATTTTCAATTATTGACAGGTATGATTAAAGTCATTTTGAGATGGTGGAGAAGATTTGTGGATCAGGTGGATGATTTTGATGTAGTTTTGTTCTCTGAGCTGGATGGTTTGGTCGTGGAGCTTTCATTGTTCTTCTGAACGACATCATCAGCACAAACTTCAGATAGAAGTGAAGTGTTCGAATTTCTCCATATGCGTTTCACAGCACCTCGAGGTGTACAGAACAAGCTGTGAAACTCATATGGAGAAATTCGAACAATTCACTTCTATCTGAAGTTTGTGCTGATGATGTCGTTCAAAAGAACGATAAAAGCTCCACGACCAAACCATCCAGCTCAGAGAACAAAACTCCATCAAAAATGATTGAAGTCACTTTGTTAAAGAAGATAGTTAAAAAAGAGAAAAAACAACAACAATATCGGTGTTAAACATCATCTTCGATACATTATGTTGTGTTTTCCTTTGTATTCAAATAAAATAATGAAAATTTAATCTCTTTTAAATGTTTATCTTCTATTTGACCTGATATTAGATGGTTATAAATTCTTTCACTTTTGTCTAACATTCTGTTACTGTTTAAATCACCTACTGTGAAAAAAGCAGTGTTTCATGGTCAAAAAGAAAAAGAAAATAAGGTTACTGATATTTGAAAATTGATCACAGATTTTGATTGACAATATTCTATTACAGATTGATTATTTGGAAAAATCCAGGATGGTAGATGTTTTAAGATTAGCCTACTAAAAAGAAAAAAAGAGAAAAAAATAAAGAAGAATTCATCTCCATTTAGTTAATTAATAAGACTGAACTATCTATATTCGTGTCATTAAGAATCGACATTTTTATTCTTAAAGTCACTCATTATTTTTATAATCAGTTTGAATGTTTAAACTAGTAGCTATGTAAAATTTTGTGAAATTGCATAGTTTTTGCTTTTTCATCATTCATACCGATTAAGTTATTTTAAAAGATTAACTGATTTGATGAAGAATCGGTTTATTATTTCATTGGAGTTCAAAATTGACAAGAATTCCGTATCTATTAGCTATACCTTGAAAATGTTCATCTAATAACCAGGACTAAAGGTTGTAAAGCAATTTGAGGAATTATAATTATGTTTCACAGTTGATGGTTAGGATTACAAACTAGATTTAGAGTGTTCATCACAAACTGACATCAGTTATAATGCCGAAATATTATTTAGCAAAATGAGTGGATGAATTTTGCTCAAAAATCTAAGATTTGTCATCTTAAATCTGATTGATTCGATCATAATCTATAGTTTCTCCCAGAAATCTGCATCATCTCAAGATTCATATAAATCTGATGCCCTTCTCATTATTAAAAAAACTGAGGAATTTCCTCGGAAGACAAGCTTCCACAAGGGAACAATTATTCCACCAGCGTCTTCATTATCATATTCTATCAATAAATATCGGACGCAGACTATCAAAGAGTAGCTGAGCGAAGTAGAAGCTAAATGATTATTGATAAATATTACGGGTTTTACAGTTAGAAGAATAAAATTCCGATGTGATCAATCTTGTCAGTTAAACATTTTCGTCACTATCATATCACTTTATCCAAAATCTAACTTTCAAGTTTTCCTACTATACGACAATATGTCTTTACATTTTTAAAACTTGATAGTAAAAACGTAATCCTTAATTGTTTTTTTCTGTTAGCTACTCATTTTGTTAAAATAGACCATTTGTAACAAGCATTTGTCTTAAAGTTATTTGTCACTTTTTCTGTAATGAGATATTAGAAGTCGAGCATAGGTTTTAATTACATATGGATATTATGATCGTGTTTATTCCACATGATTTCCACATAATAATAACAAAATTATTGTTTAATATCAAAAAAAATTTCATCAAAATATACGAAAGTAACTTAACAAAATACCCAATTCCAATTTTTACCGATAATTTCAATAGTTAAGATCATGAGTCAATTGAAGCTAAACCATCATGGAAAACCTGGAAGCACTAAATGGCTGTTTCGTCCTGTCGTGGGACTCCTTAGTAGTGCGCATCTATGACCCCTCCCCCTGCGAGATTCGAACCCGGGACCTACTGGTTACGCGCGCGAGCACTTAACCACCTGACCACTGATCTGGCCAGCATCCAACGGTGGTGATTTCTAACTTCAACTAATCCACGAAATTGAGCGACACATCCACCATTGTCATCAGTGAGTTACTATCTCACAACTGACACGGTTGAACTCCGCTGGTCACTACTTCTCATTAAAACTCCAAGATATACATCTTGAAGCCAGTCACTAGTGAACATTTGTTGATTAGTATCAGAAGGGGTTTTAGTAGAGATAAGGTTTGTATACTAATCATCTGTATTAAGTCTTGTTAACACAAATTAAATTATCAGTTTCTTCATAAGCTAAGAATATTTGATTTCTCTAAGTGAGGTATTTATTTATTATTGGTTTAGTATTTGCCGATGCAAAAATAAATCATATTACAGCAAAGCTCTGAACATGATCATATATGTTCATCTTAAGAAAAACAAATCAACGTTGAGACTAATTTAGTTAACACTAATATGTTCTATTAATTATTTATTATATGCAAATAAGGCATCATTAATATATCATTAGATCAGGATACAATAATTGGAAATCATCATTTAAATTATACTAAATAATAACCATAATCTTTGGTTAATCTATATGAATAAGGTTTTGAACATATACTTACTTCAATACCAAACGAAGCATGAAGAATAAGATGCGTATAGGTTTCATATCATTTCATAGATTCATCTATCTAATTATAGGTTCTCCTTGAAAGAACAATAGTTATATTTTTTAGACATGTTTTAGTATTTTCCATTCATTGTCATTAGCTTAATCATTTTACCCTGTATATTCAAGAAAGATTTATAGGATGTTTTATACATAGCTTCTATGTATCATTTTCATAAGAGACTTCTATGTTAGTCTTAAATATTATTTGTTGAGCATTATGTATTGTCAACTAGCAATTTGGTTCTATTCTTGTTACACAGTAAATGGCATTTGACGAAATCTAAAGTCCAATAAAAAAATGAACTATCCTAAACTTTACTGATTCCCTTCTTGTAACTGAATTAACAATATAGTTTATTTATTTATTTATTCATTATTGTGATTTGTATACATGACTATATGTAAATGTAAGAACCAAATGATTTCATTAATGAATAATAATAATTTAGGTTCGTTTTATACTAAGTTTCCATCTTAGTGATTCATAGACTATCTCACCAGCAGTATGAGATGATTGTTGAATTATTCAGTGGATACCGGCTCTGTGATCTAGAGTTTAAGCGTTCTGGGTTCGAGTCCCACGTATGGGATCGTAGATGCACACTTTTGAGTAGTCTCATACTAGGATGAAAAAGGCAGTCAAGTGCTTCCATGTGATCTAGCTTAAATCGACTAGTGAATTTAACTTTGAAAATACTACAATCTCTACAAATTCCCATACTAATAAAATTCATTATATTTTAGACATCTTCATCCGTAATTCTGTGATAAGTAAGGACAGAAAGGCGAATTTACGTTTTTGTTAACACAATTTGACAATTCATGATATTAGTTTTAGCCCTGATGTGATATTTCGACATTAGTTTCATTCTTAGCATAACATTTTAGTCAGTACAATATTGGTTTTATGAAATCCAATGTAATATCAATTCAGGTCAATATGTTTGTAATAATTAGTTGTAAATTTTGTTCAGTATGACAGATGTGAACTCTTGTTCAGTGTAAAATTATATTCTTCATCTTATACTGTGTGAACATAATATGTTTATCTCCTCATTTGTATAATGTTTAATAATTAATCATTGTGTGTGCAAAATAAGTAAATAAATGAGTGTGTATGATTTAATGATGATAGTACCG